GTATATATATATATATATATATATATATATATATATATATATATATACACATATACACACAGTCGCTTTTCGAAGAGTATATCCGTAAAGAAGCTTTACTTTCGCGCCGTATAAGCGAAGGAGATGAGATGAGTAGTTAGTATCGTAGTGAGTAGCACTTTGTTTCTTTTTCTTTCCCCGTTTAGTACCGGCGGACGGAGTTAAGGGTAAGACTTGGGGACCGTCGACGCTACATCAACGTGAGCGCGGAGCTATTATCACCCAGCCGCCGAATCCCGCCTCCCCTGGCGGCAAACGCTGGTCCCGTTCCGCGCCAGATCTCGAAAAGACACCTCTGCGTACAGCCCTGTTGGCGAACGCGCACCGCTCCCCGCTTCTGCAGGAAATAGGTAACCCTACCACCAGAAAATTGTACTCCTCGGCCAATAACCTGATAGACAATCAGCCAGGATGTAGTAACTATAATGATATGCCGCAAAGCTCGCTCGACATCATGCTGAGCAACGCGTCCTGCGACATAGGCGAGGATTTTGTTATTTTGGACAATGACATATACGAGTCCGTAGTTCTGCATAACAAAAATCCTCCGAACAATCTTAAGACCCATTTCTCGGAAGAGACCTCGATAATCAACGACGATTACCCTATAAAAACGATAGGCCACCGTACGGCCGCAGTCTCGAAAGCCACGTCGCCCAAGTGTCAAAAGCCGCTCGAATGGGAACCTTCGTACTCTACGAACTTTGTGCAGAACGTAGCATCCACTCTGGTGGGTACCGCGAAGCGGGTCAAGAGTAAGAAGCGTGACAGGAGTAAATCAAAGGAGTCAAAGCGCCGGGACAGTTCGGAATCGCGGCTGGCGTCCCTGGCCGATTTCTTCCGGTCGCCGTCCGGCTCGCGTAAGAGTTCCCTGAATTCACCGCGTAGCGGCGAGAGAAAGAATTCGGTAACCATTAAAATTAATGATTACGACGGCCTGGAGTCGAGCCCCGAGAATTCTATCGGCGGCAAAACCCAGCAATCCCAGCACAAGTCGCGCATTTCCAAGAGCCCGCTGCGGGTGTTGAACAAGATGAAAACGTGGGGCAGCCGGGACGCGCTCGACGACAAAACCGCCGCGGTTAAAGTGGAGTACAGCGTTCTGGAAAATATCATATCCATCCCGCAACTGAACCGTCGCGATTCGAGTGAGCAGACGGGCTCGAACGCCGGGGTTTCGGTGCCCAGATTTCTCGCGGCGAACTCGCGCGAAGGGATAGACTTCGAGAGCCTCGAGTCGGAATTGTGCAATTTCGACTCGGAGCACTCAAACGACAGCTCGAGATCGAAGAGCTCGTTGGGACCGTATCACGAGACGGTCGGCTCCAGGCACAAAAGATCGCCGATCGCCTTCGAGCTGGACGCGTCATCCGCAAAACCGGTCACCGTCGCCGCGTATTGTTCAGATCACGGCATCGAGATGAATTCCTTTTTGCATCACAAGTCCAGAAGTAACGAGTACTTGCGCAGCTGCGATGGCGATAGCGGTCGTCTCCAAGAGGGTAACGACCACCAGAGCCCGCGTGCCAATTACAGTCCAAAGAGAAGTCTGCCCGCGTCTCCCCCGGATCTCGTCAGTCTCTGTCGCACAGCCTCCGAGGATACCGACTTCGCGTCTAAGAATTTCGCTGGCGAACAATTCCCGAGAAAGGGCGACAAGCAGTAGTGTCGCGCGCGCGCGTGCGGCTTCAACGAAACGGATGTACTCCCGCGACTTTTCCTATACAGGGTGTTCCTCGCGCGCTGCGCCGCTCCTCATTTTAATTCCAAAAATTCGAATTCGATTCCCCTTAGGGACGCGCGATACACGGTGATATCCGATCCGTCATCGCGAAGAAAGCGCAGCCGATCACGAATGCCCTGTATTCGACGAGAACGCAAGTAGAGCCTGTAGCTCGAAACGCATTTCGATAGCATGCCTTCTTTTCCGCCGCACTTTTCTTTTTACATGGTATTTTGAATGACTTCGTACTGATCGTGTGTTTCTATTCTATCGCAGGCCTCTCTGAGGAAAGCATCTACCACACCCGTAAGTTTTCTCTTCACACAACGATTGTTATGTCGTACTTCACTGGTGTCCTCACCCCCATTCATCCCCATCTCCATCTGTCATCATTAGAACATTAATCTTTTTTTTCTTTTTTTTTTCTTTTACCAAGTC